CAAAAAATTGATTGTGGGGATGGTTGCACAACTCTGAATATACTAAAAACATTGAATTCTATATTTTAAATAGGTCAGTTATATGGCATGTAAATTTTATCTCAATAAAGCTGTTATAAAATACTTAATCCTGATTACTGTTTTGGTGCACACGTAAGTTTTGTGGCCCAGCCTTACTCTCCTAGTGCCCACCCTGCTGTCCCTTCCACACCAAGCTCAAGAGGGACAGCTAAGCCCTGGCCTGTGTGACTCAATGGTTGGGGCGTTGCTCCTCCAACCCAAGGGTCTCGGGTTTGATTCAGGTCAAGAGCACTACCTGGGTTGCACCACTCCTTGGGGAGGCAACCAATTGTTGAGGCTCTCACACATCAATGTTTCTCTCTCTCTCTCTCCTCTCTCCCCCTCCCTCTCCCTTCCATTCTGTCTAAAATCAATGGAAAAAATATCCTCCAGTGAGGATTAACAAAACAAGAAAAAAAAAGAGGGACAGCTAAGATGGGGAGAAGGCCCCTGGGTAGGCGAGGAGGGGTGGGAAAGCCAGGGCGAGGTGGCCAGTTGAGACCCCGCCCCACACCGCGCCTTTTTTCTTGTCAGCAGTCGCTGCAGGAGTGGCAGGCTCCCGATGGGAAGAATGGTGGCTCTTTCTGGGGCGTCTACAAAGCCTGATTCCAGGGGCCCCCGCCTGCCTGGCTTCCCGGGCTGCCTGACTCAATTTGCCCACTGCATGCGTGTGACCCTCTGCCGGCCCCCAGTGACTCAGGCTGCCTGGAAGCCCCCTCCCTGGGGACGCTGGGCTGCTCGTGGTGACTTTTCACAGACATGGCGGAAGCAGGCCAGCGCCAAGCAGCCCAGCAGGACCTTGGACCCACAGCCCACCCCGCAGAGGGCCTAAGGGCTGGGATGGGCAGTTCAGAGCTCTTCTCAAAGGACCTTTGTGGGAATGGCTGGGGGGGCTGCGGGGGGACCCCGCCCTGCGTGACTCAGGCCTCATTGCTGGGTGGTGACTCACGGCCAGGCCTCCCTCCCCCTCCCTCCGCTCGCCCGCAGCAGGTGCTGCCAGCCCCAGCTTCAGGACAAGGCCTCGGAAGCCACGTGCATGCCACCCTTCCATGGTCCTATGACCCGCGCCCATTTCCAGGGGCGACCGCCCTGCCCTGACCTCCTTGCTCTATAGGGTTCGGATCCAGGATAAAACTTCCCACACTCCCTCCCCTCCTTGGTGGGGGGCAGAGCCCTGGTACTCAGCTGTGACAGGCATTGCTCGTCTCACTATTGATTCACAGAATCTTCAAACCACCTGAGAGGCAGGGCGCCGTTGCTGCCTCCTTTCAGCAGACAGGGAAACTGACGCTCGGCGAGGCTATGGCGTTTGCCCAAAGACACTGGAGATCAAACTCAGAGTCGGGGCAAGCAGAAGTTGCTGCCCGGCGTGTACCTGGATCGCAATGCCGACTGCCCGGCGCCCCAGTGAAGGGCTCCTGCAGCACGCAATGCGCGCCCACCTCCCCGAGGAGCAGCCAGCGCCCTGAGGCTAAGTCTCAGAACGGGAGGGAGAGGCCGGGCTGGGGTTCAAACGGAGCCCCGGAACCCGGGAGCCCGGGCTTTGTCCGCCGCTTCCCCACGG